GAGTTAATCTTTTTTCTTCCTCTTGCAGATGAACATAGGCTGCAGCTGGATTTGAGCTTGGACTGCCTCTAGCTGCTGTTTTTTAGTTTGTTCTTTTTGCTCAATGTTGTCGTAGTGCTGCTTGTTGAATTCCCCCAGTTTAGCTTTCAAGTTTCTTTGTTTCTGAGTTAACAGGAACTGGTAACTGCCTTCTTCCTCAGAGAACTAAGCTTCCTTAACTGCTTCCCCATCGTACTAGTAGGGGACTATGGTTAGAAATGCCGGCTGGAAGAACTTTTGTTGTAGCATCTGGGAACTCCTGTAGCCATTTCTCATTGATAAGCGACCTGTCTAACTTGGACATAATTCTGTTTGATCCCTGTTGTTTGTTGCTCCAGGTGTATTGACAGCTAATTGACTTCATCTCCATCAATTCGCAATGATCTATCACCATCTGGAACATGCCTGTATCAGAACTAACTCCTCTGATTCCTCCTATCTTTTCCTCAGGTTGGAGAATGCAGTTGAAATCTCCTATAACTAATCAGGCCCTTGAGTTGTTGCTATTCATCCCTAGCATTTTGTTCCATAATTCAGTCCTTCTCTCTGGTTGATGTTCTGCGTAGATCACTGTGAGTTCAAAGAGCCTACTTAATGATAACTCCTGAACTATACAATGAATCATTTGCTTTTCTACTCTTACATTGCTCACTTTATAGCTATCTTTCTGCTACATAATCATAACCCTTCCTTTGCCAGAAGCTCCATGATTACTTATAATTTCATACTTGCTCCATTTTGGTACCCCCAGTTCTTATATTCTTGCTCCATCTAGTTTACTCTCTATTATACCTGCTAATCCAACTCCATTAACAGAGAGGCATTTTTCTACCTCTCTGTGTTTCAGGGGGTTGTTAAACACCCTTATATTCCAACAAAGGAGGCTACTCATGGTAACCAGGCCCAAGAGATGGGCATCTAGTTCCACTAGTATTATGCTTCCCTGTCATCTTCTGCTTATCTTTGATCTTATCTTCCCCACCTTTACTTTCTTTCATGTTTATCACTTGCTTTCCATCTCTTTGATTACTGCGGTTGGCTTCTACTATTTTACCTGAGTTCCCTGCTTCGGGTGATTTCTCCAATGGAAGTTTTCCTGGAAGAGTGGTGACTGGGAGGTCTTCCTCAGGTAGTTTAGGAGCTTCTTCTTTTGCCTTTTCGATACTTTTTGTAGGATTAGCTGGCTTCTGCGAATTAGCTTTTCTTGGTGTCCAGGTTTTTTCAGCTGGTTTCCTGCATTTGGAAGACTCATGACAATATCCCCGATATTCACTACATCGAATAGGTCTTCATTCATAACGAATCTGCTGCTCCAACAAGTTACCATTCTCATCCTTAAACCATACTGCATCAGGCATTTTCTCTGTGATTTTCACCTCTACCAAGATTCTTGCATATCTAGTACGGTTCACCATTGATGTCATCTCATCCATCTCGAGAGGCATCCCTATAATACTGGCAATTCTGCTAAGTGACTTGGCATTCCAGTACCTCAGTGGCAGCTTAGGTAATTAAATCCAAACTGGAACCTTGCTAACATCTTCAATCTTGAATCCTTTTTCTACTGACCAGTTCTTGACAATCAGTGGTCGACTGTCAAAGTGATACACTGACTGCCTAAGAACCTCTTCTTTTGCTGTGACCGTATTAAACCTGACTACATAGACACCGTTGTCCATCAGGAGAACTTTGTCTACTCCAAACTTTCTCCAAATTCTCCTTAGGTACCCATTGACTACGTAGAAATGAGGATGTCTCCTAATATATAACAGATCAACGAAGAGCGTCAGTAATCAATGGCCCCTTGTAATTCATCTCTCTGCATCTAGCAATTGAACGATTTTGAGCAGTTATAGGTGCTACATATTCTAGTTTACGCTCCAGACCTAGCTTCGATTTCAGATCTGAATTGCCCCAAACATTCTTAACCCTAGATTTTGAGTTTTCCACTTCCAACTCATCAATCTTCTTCGATGTTTCTCCTATTTGCACAATTTTTTGGTTGCAAAACTGCTCAAGAATTGAAGAAGGCATGCCATTCGAATTTGATGTTAAATTACGGTATGTTACCTTGACCTCGGGATTGACTTTCTTGGCTGTCATTAGATTCGAGATCTCCTCCTCAGATTGCTCTTGCTCAGGAATGTTTCCTTTTCCCTTCCTCTTAGGTTTCCCCACCATCATAGATGCACAGATTTGCGTACCGAAAGAGAAAGATGAATCTTACACAGACAAGCGGGTAATCGCCCACAATGTGAGAAGAGAGAGAAAAAGGAAATACGGGAATGAATTAATCTTGATCTCTTTGTTTCTTGTTCAATCTGCAGTGTATTTTCCTAGCCGAAAGATTTTCATTTTCAATTTTTTTTGTGTTGAAAATAAGAGGGAGAAGTTAAAACTAGGAATCACGGTATCATTCTAAAAAATATATATTTTCGTTTTTTAGTTACAAAAGATCATTCGTTGTTTAATTTTATTATACATTTTCACTGGTTTTATCATTTTTTTTAAATGAAAACTAAAATTTCATGTTTGAACAATCAAATCATGTTTGTTTCCGACTTTCTTATTATTTTTTCCCCCTATCGAGAGCGTAATTATCTAATTATTTTATTCATTATTAGTTATGGCAACAAAAAATAATTTCATAAATTTGTCAATAATGGCAATTAACTGATTCTCCCCTTCCATTTTGTATAACATTTCGTCAAAATATAAATTGTCTTTTAAGTTCGTCATAATGTATGGTAATTACTTATTTATTCTTAAAATCTCATTCACGCCCAACCGCATCGATAATGATTTAACTCTCAAAGAAACGTATGCAATTATACAAGTATGAAAATTTGAGTAGCGATGCGAAAGATGTCAACGTGAAAATGCCTACAAAACCTTTTTCTTGCACGATTGAGAGGTACTAACATGTTACGATGATTATTGGCAATAGGGAGTTCATGATTGTTTATATCCTCTGTTCATTTTTCGTCTATCATTAAACAACTAACACTTATTGCGTCATTGCTATTCTAAGTTATGCGAAGCTAATTTGATCACAGAAATTTAGTTACAACGATTAAGAAAAAGATCGGTAGAATCTTTGCGCGTTTTCACAACGTTGTTGGCAAATTCTGTCACTGATGTCATATCAGTTTGTTGATTGGGTGCAAACGGTAAGTTTCCAAGCAGCTTCCTGGAAGACCTGAGGGAAGGCCACGTATTCCAGGTCTATTACATAATGAAGAAAAAAGAAAAATAAAACAGAGAATAATTGTTATTTAGAAAATAAAAGGCATGCAAATTAATCAACGCGAAGAAGAATAAAAAAGATAAACAGGCGTGTTGCACATTCATTTGCTATTTTTATCCGAATAATTCCTTTAGTCATAAACTGTCACATTCATTTCACACTCCAGAACGCGAATGCGAGCCACCACTTTCCTACTGCTTACGTGAAAGTAATTAACATCTTTCTTATTACAGTCAGAAGAAAGTAGTTGTTACTTATTACCAGTAAAGCTTGGGTGGTTACCACTTACCATACTGGTTAAAACTTGAAAATTATAAGAGACTTATGATTTTTACTAAAAAATTTTTTTTATATATATTACCCATTCGGTGTTCGAAGTTATTGATCTGCCTAAAATTTTAACATGTTCTATCTCTTATGTTTCGAAACAAAAAAATAAAATAAAATGATATATCTCATTTACATAATTTCAATATTGTCATAGTATAACGAAGTTCTACTCCATTTCAATGATTCCCATAATCTAATGCTTTGACAGTCCCACGAATCGAGTCGCTGGCATAATTTGCGTCTTTGTAAAAGTACGAGGGTTTGATTTTCCATTCTCGTATTTTCATGAATAATATTGTTAATCAATTTACATGATTTTTGGAAGGAGGGATGGAGAAATTTATCACGAAAATCTAATTAACGGAAAAAAAAAAATTGTTGAATAGCAAGTTATTTATTAACAATCAATAAAATTAGCCTTTTTCATTGAAATCATCAAACTGCTGTCTGTACTCATTATGATTAGAACTGGTAAACTAGTCATAACAATGACTTAAACTACTGATTTGGAGGTACTACTTTAATATAATTATTACTTGACGAATTTTCATATTGAAAAATCCGTCAAGTTAAATTTCGTTTTTACTGAATCTAACCGGCCATGTTAGGCATACAGTATTTTGGTGCAAGATCTTCTCAAGATTTCAAAAACTGAACTGAATTTTGGAAGGTCGCACAGTTTTTTAGTTGACTCGTAGTGCTTGAGTCAAGTCAAAAAGATAATTCCAATAATTTGGTAAAGTCTTAAAAACTAATAATTTGTCAGGTTTATTGGTGTATCAATAAGGTCTCATTCACCCAAAAGGTAAATAAATAAAATAAATAAATAATGATAGTGTATTTATAGATTAATTCTTCAAAATTTGAGTAACAGTTTTCTTTCAGAGAAAAATCAAACGGATTCTAATTCTCATTAGTAAAGAGAATAATTTCAGACGTTAAATGTATATCTGTCAAATGATTCAAATGTACACAAACATGATTTATAAAAAATAAAAAAAAATTATAACATGAGTCAAAGTGTCACAAACATGACTCTTATAAGAAGAGGTAAATTCACATTTCATATTTTTACGATATTTTACCCTTTTGCTTATTCATTTTAGCTTATGTAACTAGTTCGAATTCACACACATCAATCGCTTTCTCTAGAAGAAATTTTATATGCATTATTAATATTTTGAAGGTGATAAAGAAATGAAGATAAACCGTTACAAAGATACAAAAATTAATTAAAAACCCAATACCCTAAGTTACCTATTACGGCTGTGCAATATTATTCAAAACGCTCTTCAAACGCGGCAGAGGAGGGACCTTACACTTTACTTTGACTAACACTCCCCCATTAGGCCATAACCCTTGAAAAAGACAAGCCAACACGACAATCCAAAATATAAACATGAAAAAAAAAAAAATTCTTCATTATAAATAACAAGAATACAGCTTTCCGTAAATTTTCATTTCTACGATATATCCAGAATCCAAACGGACAAATTATAACAGTAATATTACTACCTCAGACCAACACAGAAAAAAGAAAACCCAGATCAAAATTCGAACGTTTAACGGGCGCCTGAAGGAAAAAACCAATCATGTCTTGTACCGTTGCGATTTCAAACTCGCCGGTGTTTTCCCCAACCAGCACTCACCGGGTTTCCTCATCTCTGTTCTGCAAAGTCTCTGCTTCTTCCTGTGGTGCTTCCTCCTCGCCGGAAAGTCTCAAAAACACGTCTTCTTCCTCGCCGTCTTCTCCGTTGAGGGGTCTCCGGCTGCAGAAGCCGCCGCCGAGTCCGAGTGGACTGATTAGGGCATCTGGGGATTGTTCGGCTTCCTTGGATGTGACTTCGCCGTCTGTATCTAAGAGGAAGAGGCCGGCGAGGTTGGATATTCCGATTGTTTCGATGGGGTTTGCGAATATTCCGGCGACCCCTTCTGCTGCAGCGGGGCCGAGGAAGGACTGGGATGTGGTTGAAGTGGAGGGAGATGGGTATGGGGTTTATTGTAAGAAAGGGAGGAGAGAAGCCATGGAGGACCGTTTCTCGGCTGTGGTCAATCTTCAAGGAGATTCAAAACAGGTACTTCTTCTACTTTCTGATTGACCCTTTCTTTGATAGCTAACATTCGTTTATAACCTTGTCATATACAATCGTTTCTTGTTCTGTTACCTTCTTCCAAGGATTTTATTGTATCTTGTATCCCAGGAAGAGAAATGATAAGAAGTATTCATTTAGATCATATTTTGTGTTTGTTATCTCTCTTGTGAGTATATTGTATTGTGTTTTCTTACCGGATTTTGTGAAATTGTTGTTCTAGGCTTGTTTCGGTGTATTTGATGGGCATGGTGGTGCAAAAGCTGCTGAGTTTGCAGCAGAGAACTTGCAGAAAAACATAATAGATGAAATAGAGAAGAGTAAAGATGGTCAAATTGACGATGCAGTGAAGAATGGTTACTTAAGAACTGATTCTGAATTTTTGAAGGAAGATGTTTGGGGTGGATCATGCTCCGTGACAGCTTTAATCCGGAATGGGAATTTAGTGGTGTCCAATGCTGGTGATTGTCGCGCTGTAGTTAGTCGAGGAGGTATAGCTGAGGCACTTACATCTGATCACCGGCCTTCAAGGCAAGACGAAAGGGATCGAATTGAAGCTCTGGTAATTAGCCTTACCTTAACTTTGAAATTAAAAATCAGTATTCTCAAATCCTGTGCGAAGTATTTCAATGATAACTGATGTATAAAATAATGCGAACTTGCAGGGTGGCTATGTCGATTGTAAGCATGGTGTTTGGCGAATCCATGGCTCTTTAGCTGTGTCTAGAGGAATTGGTGACCAGTATCTTAAACAGTGGGTTGTAGCAGAACCAGAGACAAGAATCCTTGGACTTGAACCTGACCTTGAATTCTTAATCCTTGCTTCTGATGGATTATGGGATAAGGTATATATGCTCACCATTATCTTTTTACTCTTTCATCCGGTGAAAGATAAAAACTCTCATGATACCCCCAGAGATTTAGAAACATGTGGTTATGACTGGAATAGTAAGTCTAATTCATCCTGCTTTGGTTGTACAGGTCACTAATCAGGAAGCAATTGACATCGCTCGGCCTTTGTGCATCAGCATTGAGAAACCTCAGATGTTATCAGCTTGTAAAAGGCTTGTTGATCTCTCCATTTCGCGAGGTTCGGTGGATGATGTTAGCGTTATGCTAATCCAGTTAGCACAATTTTATTGACTTATCTCATTTGATACTAGAAAAATAGGTCAAATAAATCTAACAAGACTAGGTTAGACTAGACTGAGGGAATTCACCCTCCAATATCTTTATTCTTTCTGGGAGGATCAGTTGCTGGAAAGTAGCTAGGACATACATGATCTAACTAACTGGGCAGATGGTGTGTTTGGTTTCTCATCTGAAGAATATGAAGTGCTTCAGAACTGGGATCATCTTAAAGCCTGGTTTTGAATCTCTGTAGGAGTTGTATCCATTTTCGGAGTTGAATTTCTCTTGAGAAGCTAAGCACACTCGACGGAAGTCTACCCTTCGATTCTAGTTGTTTTAGGACAGAGCAGCTGCTTCTTTCCTGTGATTTGTAATTATGAACATCAATTCATTGCAGACGCTAAAGATTTTAGTGTTACTTCATTCTAGTTACTTCACTCTAGTCATGATAGTAAAATTATTTTTGCTTCAAGTACAGTGACAAACTTTCTTTTGTTCTGGTAAATGCAATATTACGTTAATGGGCTTATGTTGGTGTTCAGTAAGACCCTCCTTAACCTCGTCTTTCTTTTCACTTCAGCTGGACCATGAATCTGTGATTTCTAGTGGGCTAGATCCAATAGCTTTGCTACCTAAAGAGTGCGTTATAGATATTCACCACTATAGTACGCTAAGTACACTATGTTCGTGTTTTTTTAAACTACTCTAATTAATCCTCCTACAAACTCATTCTAAATTTCTTATCCCGCACCTCGGTGAGAATTGAACCCGCCACCCGGGACCTTCCCGAGACAGCCCTACCTTAGCCAACTATATTACATTCGATTCTCACCTTGTATATTCTGTATCGATATAACAATCCACTTTCAATAGGAGAGATTTTGATATCTCAAACAAACATCTCTTCTGAATATAACGCTCATAATTTAACATTCAACAATCGTTATTATTATTTGTTGGACATAGGAGAAGACTTAGAATATACGTATATGACGTGAAACTAAAGCCATGGTCTCTGCCACTCCTTAAATCAATTGTTTGCAATTGTCATTTTTTGGAACTTAAACAACCATTTTCAATGCCGATGTCCAAGATTGACTGGATGAATTGAAATAGTTAGCTTACGACAGGAAAGCATGAATAATGCGTATATGGTTCTCGTTGAACTGAATAACACATGGTATATAGGCATATAGTATTCGTTAACCGTCTTGAAATATTGAACGTGGAGTCTTTCAAGACTTTCAAATGACGCGATCCACGCCTTGATCTCATTTTACGTGTTCATTCTCCATTCAAGCTTCTGATTTGGTGGATGTCTGCTAAACTGACTAAAGTCGTTTCATCACTAAAATTATACAAACTTCATTGAGTATATGTTTTATACTCCATCCGTCGCAGAAAAAAAAAAAAACCATCCATATATTTTGATTTTCAAACCATGATTTGTTTTTATAGATAAATCATGTGTACATAGATGAGGATGTGCATCATATTGGTAAAGCACATTTTACAGTTGGTAGAAAATTATTCCTCCAGTCTTTAAAAAATAGTCTACATTTGATTTTTAAATTTATGTAGACTATTTTCAAGGCAGAGATAATAATACTATTTATTATCCAACCATCTACATAAAACAAGGAGAAAAAACAACAAAAACAACAACTAATGGCTAATGCGATGCTCTCATTGTTTCTACTTCTGGAATTCCGGGTAGTGACATTAGAACGACCAAACCTTTTTTTGATTCATTTTTGCATGATCGACAAAGATAAGAATAAAAACAATTATTGGTACAATGTTAATTGACTGGAAGCATATATAATTGGACGAAGACTCAAATAAAAGGAATGATTTCCTGTTCCGTTTCTAACAACTAATACATCTTCATAATATTCTGATTTTTATTCCATACACGAATGAGGAAACCCACGATTATTCCTTGGAATGGACAGTAGACTCTAGCTAGCTACCTAATACCCAGTTTTAGTTTGTCGTGGCCTCCATGTTAACTACAAGGAAACTACGTACACATAATTATACTATCATTGTTTATTTTGCATTGTACTAGTATATACTAAATGTGCTTCAAGCCTCCAATCTCAAAATTATTGATCGATTTATAACACTATTTTAACATAATAATAAAACAATTATTTCAGATTACTAAAGATTAGTGTTTGGTCCATGTTTTTCGTGGAATGGGAAGAAATAAGAACGAGAGATACACCATCAAGCAGGGCATGATGGGCTGTCTAAAGCAAAATATCCCTTTTCGGCGTTTTCGAAAGTTGAAGGGCTCGGAACTGTTTGAACCAAGTGATTTCACATGACCATTGTTTGGTGTCTTTATTTTTCCCCACATAACATCTGTTCGATTTTATAATTTCTTCAGATGAATTAAGTTCAGATAATAGTTTAATCACAATAAAAAAATTATTGACGGGGACAAGTTGGCTTTATAGTCCCTCCAAACGTTGATTGTTTGGATTCAAAAAGCAAGAAATTTGTTGTCTCATCCACTATATTTCCCAAGTGGGGGATTTCTTTTTCAGTTTTTATTCAGCAAGTTAATTAATATAATTTCATAAACTAATATTAGTAAGTATATAAATACACAAAATGAAAGAACGGCAAGTAGTAGGGCTGCTCGTTATTCGGCCTTACCCGACGAACCGCCCGACCCGAATTTAATTCGGTCAAATCGGGTCGGCTAATCGGCTTAATCGGTGGAATTTCGGTTCCACCCTATTAACCGATTAGATTATACGGTTCAGAGTCGGTTTTCACAAGTGTTAATCGGTAGTCTCGATAATATTTTATTATTTTATTTATTAAATATATATAGGCCTCATCATTATTTTTTTTCCAGATTTTTCTTTTTCCTCCTTCTTCTTCCTTCGTTCTCTCCTTTTTCTTCTCTTCGACCTTCGTCGCGCTGTGACCGCCGTCGACTTGATGATACGCCGCCGGCATTCCCACTATAAACCCACCTCCACATTCACCTCCACGACTCCTCCTCTCATTTCCTACCTCCAAAGCTCATTTAATCGACCAAATCCACTACCAATCCAACCCTAAAACCAGATCTAGGGTTTCAGTTTCAGAGTTCCCAAATTGGCGCTTTTTTTCTGGTCGATTGATTCGATTCATCCACCTCCACGACTCCTCCTCTCATTTCCTACCTCCAACACCCTGTTAATCGACCAATCCACTACCAATCGGTCCAATCTAATCCAAACCAGATCTAGGGTCCACTGTTTCCAAGTTCTCAAATTTAGGGCTGCTAATTCGGTCGGTTCGGTCGTTAATCGGTTCGGATTAATCGGGTTTTTTTCACTTCCGAACCCGACTGAAACCGAACCGAAGTTTAATAATTCCCGAATCGAACCGAGCCGAATAAGCAATCAATTTTTCGGTTTGGGGATCGGTTAACCCGAAAAAGGCCAAATAGGCCATATTTTGTTTTTACAAGATTTTCAGTTAGAGAAATTCAATTCATCATGCAATAACAAAATGCAAATCAATGTAACAACAAAATAGACCAATTGACCCTAATGCCAATGGCCATCTCATTTCAAAGTTTATTTCGACATTTCGAGTTTCGACTCAAAGTTTCAAAGTCAACACTGTTTTTACAGAATGCAGCAGGAAGAAGCAGTAGCTGCAGTACATGGTTTTTACAGAATCATCAACAACACTACAACCTTTTGTTCATGGTTTTACAGAATCATCAACATAACATGTAAATACCAAAAATGATCAACTTTCAACACTTCAACAGACTACATTAAGTCATTAACTAGTTACAGAAAAAGAATTGTTTAGTCTTCAACGTTTCAGCGCTTCAATTGGCAGCATTGCAGGCTTGCAACAGGCATTAGGCAAACAACATTCAGCAATCTGGAATTTTACGTAGCAACATTCAGCAACAGGAAATTCAGAAATACCTAAACTTATGCAACAGGAAACAACCATCTAAATTTTACCTATCATCGAAGCGTCTCAAGAGTTTGATCATGACAAATCCACAGTCTCTGATTCACCAGCATTCATTTCCTTCTCAGAAGTTGAAAAGAGGAAACAAACATAAACAGTCAATATTCAATCAAATGAAAACCAATAGTTAAAAAATCAAATGAAAACACAAACTGTAACAGTGTAACCTTCTTCAATCTGTAGGAGTTCTTCCCAGCTTTCTTCGACACTTTCTTCTTCAACTTCTCCCCGAAGCCAATCTTGAGTGCAAATTAAGTACTGAACAGTCTTTGGACTCAAAGAACTCCGGAATAGATTCAATACCCTCCCACTCGTACTAAAGCAAGATTCGGAAGCCACAATTGAGACAGGAATGACAAAAATATCCCAAACCATCAGTGAAAGAATGGAAAACCTAGGGCTGTTAACACATCACCACCTCAGCAGATCGAAAGTTGGACCACCTGGTTCATCATCCTCCCTAAAATACTTGTCCAATTCTGGTCTTTTATCAGACTGGGATTCGCCACTAGCTTCTTCATTTTTCTGCTGCGCCAACACCCTAAATCTGTCTCTAAGCATTTGCGAAGGGTCGATATCAACAGGGGAAGGCCTTTTTCAAGGATGAAGTACTAGAATAAGGCTAGGAGGAAGGCAACTAACATTAGGTTTAGGGGCATGGATTCTCACATAATCCGCAAACAACTCATATATGGCGCTTTTAATAGTTTCATATCTACCATTCCCATCCATTTGTCCATAAACATCAACAAGTACAGCATCCAAATACCTCAACTTATTTCTAGGATCAAAAACACATGCCATTAAAAGAACCAGATTCATATTCTTAACTTGCCCATAGTATTTACCAAACTTTGCCTTCATCATATCAGCCATTATTTTTTTATCCTGATCATCACTTTCATTGATGATTTTCTTTAGCAATACATCAATACAAGTAATATCAATGAAAAAAGAATGTGAGGAGACAGATTTGGTACGAGATACCTTCAATGTTATCTCGTAAAAATGATGAAGAATCCCAGCTACCCTCCTAGCTTCTACCCAATACACTGCAGTAGGCAGTCCAGGACCCGAATTTGGCACATCAGGATCATATTTTAAAGCATCTTTATAGTGTTGATTACCAGTTTCGAATCTCCTAAAGGCTCTTTCATTACTTTTGAGCAATTTCCAACATAATATATGTGGAATTCCATTTAGTACAAACATCTAATACTAGATTCTTGGAACTACCATACTTCTCAATTTCAGCATATTTTTTAAAACTTGCTATTCTTTTAGGAGACTGCCGAATATACTTAACAGAAGCCCTAATCCTTTCAACAGAATTACCTATATATGCCAAACCATCCTTAACAACTAGATTAATTAAATGAGCTACACAACGATTATGCAACCATTTTGCACCCAACGCACACTTCTCTCGGACAACAAACTGCTCTTTAAGATACTCCAAAGCAGCATCATTAGAACTATCATTATCAACAGTTATAGAAAAAACATTTTCATTTTCAACCCCCACTCCATCAAACATTTTTCAATTTCAGTCCCGATATCAACCC